TCTTTATCTTGATCTTGATTTTTATTATTATTATTATTATTATATTTAGTAATTTTTTAAGAATGGCAAAAGCTCACAAGTAAAACAGACAAATTATGGTCATGAGAATATGGCGAAAAATGAGCTCAATATAGTAATAAAGCAATAAAATGCAAAATATAAAATGATTTATTTCCATGAAAGTTAATAAACTGTCATTGAGGTAATGCAAAACCATGATCTATTATTAATATATTAATGATATACTAAAATACGTTGTAGTGTCTTCAATTTAAGTTGAGATAAAATATAAAGTTTTTTTTACTATTATCATTACTATATTAAAAAATATGAGAATGAAAATATGGAGAGGAAATGAGCTTAACTGTCATGAAAAAAAAAACATTGTAAAAAATATATATATTTGCATACATTAATCTTTTCCATTTTGACTTTTTTTCCATTTTTATTTTCAGAATTTTTTTAAGCATTAAAACAATACTCAAAAGTAAAACATTACCTTCAAAACACATTATTAACATAATTCTCATTAATGATGTTAATGAGAATATGGTAGAAAATTTTGCAAATATGTCAGAAAAATAAGTCATGAAGTAACAATAACATGAATAATAACATTAATAATCATCATCATCATCTGCATTTGGGTATTTTTTCATGACAATTAGGTACATTTCCAACAAAAAATGTGGCACTTTTGATTTTAAAAACATTTTTGTAGTTTAAAAAAATAACTGAAATGTAAAATAAATAAATAAACAAACAAATAAATAAATAAAAATACTATAATACAATATTTATCTTCGTTTCTTATTATTCTTTTTTAAAATATTTTTTCTTATTTTATTTCTTATAATATGACTTAATTTTTTACTTTAAAATGTTTGTAATTAAAACAATGACTGAAATGTAAATAAAGTACAATAAAAAGATATTATAATACAATATTTTTTATCTTCTTTTCTTTTTTTGATTTTGTGGTAAAATAATATTGATAATATGACTTGTTATTCTTGAGGAGTTTGGTGAGATTGAGCTGTTAGTTACTCTTCAGAAAGCGTTCAAACATGTAAGCAATCTCTGCTCTCAAACAGGCTTAATCAGAAATAAGAGCAGTTCTGCTTGGAAAGCCTCATGTTTTATGAGAATGTCAAAGTCTGTTGGTAAACAAAAGAGCTATTCAGAGCCCGAGCCGATCGGAGACGCCACCCAAACCCCCGGAACCCCGGATAAAGTTTCCATGTCCAAAGAGTAAAACGGGAAAGGTTAAACACACACACACGCACAAAGCCTCTCTCATGCAGACTTACGAAACATGGTGTTGAACTGCTGGGGGTTCAGGTTCCACTTGCCCCACGGAGTTTTGTGCCCTTTCGACTGGGTGTAGTGGGCGTGGTTAAACTCCGGCTCCGTCCCGAACGAGTCTAGGACCCTCAGCATGCACCTAAAACACACGTTCAAAGCTGGAGTGTGGGCATATAACAACAGTGCACAAACCATCTACAGAGTGCTGACATCTGTACATTAAACAATGCTTATAATAATAATAATAATATATTTCTAAAGTCAAAACTTGAATATATAAAATATCTGGATGCTGCATAGTGTTTTTTGTATATGTGTGTATATATTTATAAAATACACTTAACTATCTTTTTTAAATTTTTAGTATGTTTATTTTAAAGAAGAATGACAAAAAAGGCATTACATTATACATTACAATATGCTAAGAATAATAGAAATAATAACAATAACAATTATAATCTTGAAGCAGAAGAGGGGTAAGCGCGGAGGTATCCGGGCTAGGCTAGCGGCTAACCCACACAAGCCAGCTATCCCCACCATCGTACTGGCTAACGTACGCTCTTTGGACAATAAACTGGACTACATCCGACTACTACGCTCAACTCAGAGGACTGTAAGAGACTGTTGTGTTTTTGTGTTCACGGAAACATGGCTCAACAACAGCGTTCCGGACTGCGCTATTCATCTCGATCAGCTGACATGCTATCGAGCGGACAGAGCTCGCGTCGAGGGAGGTAAGACCCGCGGCGGAGGGCTTTGTGTTTACATTAATGATGCGTGGTGCCGCGATGCTGTTGTGATCTGCAAACACTGCTCACCCCTGGTGGAGTTTATGATTATTAAGTGCCGGCCGTTCTATCTACCGAGGGAATATACAGCCATACTGCTCGTTGCTGTATACATCCCTCCCAGCTCCAACAACAACAACAGGAGCGAGGCACTAAATGAACTGTACCAGCACATCAGTGAGCAGCAGACAGCCCACCCTGATGCTTTTCTCATCTTGGCTGGGGATTTCAACCACGCAGACTTAAAGAGTGTGTTCCCAAAAATACACCAACACATAGACTTTCCAACGTATGCACCAAGGGTCTGAGAGTAACGCAATTTCAATTCTCTGTGTGTATGTGCTGTACATTGACAACTAACCCTGTTATTGACAATAAAGCAGACTTGAGACTTGAGACTTGAGACTTGAGATAATCTGCATTTTGGAATTTTTTTATGACAAGCAAAACATTTCTAATGAAAAACTTGACTTTTGGTGGACAAATGTGGCACTTTTGATTTTAAATCTTGTAGTTAAAAAAGGACTTAAATTATGGTACAATATTTTTCTTATTTTATTATATGACTTAAGATTTACTCTTGGATCTTCTTTAAGTAAAACAATGACTGTAATTAAAAAAAAACAAGTTAAGTACTGTAATACAAACTATATTTTTTCTTTTTTTGTGGTGAAATAACCACTAATACAAGAAAAAATAAGTCAAAATTAAATAATATTACTACTACTACTACTACTAATAATAATAATAACTTTAATATCTTTATTGTGTGTATTTTGGCATTTTTTCATGACAATTAAGCACATTTAATTGTGTTATTTTGAAAACTCAAATAACATTTACTTAAGTCAAAATTAAATAATATTACTAACAATAGTAATAATAATAATTATTATTATTTTCATCATCATTGTTATTAAATAATATTTAATTAACAGTCAAAATATAAATATTACTACTACTACTACTACTACTACTAATAATAATAATAATAACAACATTATTATTATTATGTAATTACGTAAAGTAAAAATGTATTAATATTACTTCTACTACTATTACTACTACTACTAATAATAATATTGTTATGGATAAAAATAATAATAATTATTATTATTATTGTTTTTATTATTATCATCATCATCATCAGGATTTTGGCTTTTTTTCATGACAATTAAGCACATTTTTCTAACGAAAACTTTACTTTTGATTGAAAAAATTTGGTGCTTTTCATTTTACAAAGTTTTTTTATTTAAAAAAAAATAACTGAAATAAAGCAAATAATTTTCTGGAGAATTTGACAAATTTTTATACACAGACGTTATAAATTTGACTACAGTAAAGGGGATTTCTAACACTACAGGGAGTTATCCATTAGCAAATGATTGTGTTTGGTATCAGCTAATGGATCATATCAGGTCAGACGACCCTGATTACTAGATAAGCCCAATCCTGGCTGGAATAACAGCTCGGATTCACACGAGAATCTGTCTCAGTGTCTGAAGACAGAGATAAAATCAGGAGATCAGGTTCAGACTCATTTCAAACGGCTTACGTGGTCAATAACGCCCGAGTGTCGCGTTTCTCAACAGAGCTGAAGAAACTGTGTCAGAGGAAAATACTTCATACTAAAGCACAAATGTGATGTGAACTCACTGATAATGGACCCAGGATGGGCCCAGAGTCTTCTTGAACTGAGCCAGACCCACGATGTCTATGTAGATGAGCTCCACAATTTTATCACCCTTTGTAGGGCAGCTGGACTTGTTGCCCATGACCTTCTTCATGATCCTGGAGACACAGAATTGAATTAAATGGCACTGAATGGACCTGACTGAAGAATTGAGGACAGAGAAGGGGTTGGAGACTCACTCCTTGAGCTCGGCGAGAGACGCTGAGATGCGGATGTCGTGTCCGAGCAGATACAGCGTGGTGATCAGGTCACTCCACTGAACCAGCTCGCCCAGAGGACCGCCGCTGAACGCGTTCTCTGCTATCTTAAAACCAGACTCCTTCGTCAGCAGACCCAGGTGCACCAGGATCTAAGAGAAAAACAAACCAGAAAAAAAAAAGAAGATATTTTACACATTTTAAACAAAATATAAATTTTATTTTAATAAAAAAATGTGTTAATAATTAACATTTAAATAAACTTTAATTAAAAATACAGTACATTAAAATAGCAATAATAACAATTATTATTATTATTTTTCATATAGTGCTGTCAAATTATTAATCGCATCCAAAATAAGTTTGTTTACATAATATATGTGCGTGTACTGTGTATATTTATTATGTATATATAAATACACACACATGCATGCATTTATTTAAAAAAAATATTCAATATATTTATATATAATATAAATTATATGAATATAAATATATACATGTAATTACATGTGAAATATTTTCAAAATATATACTGTATGTGTGTGTATTTTTTAATATATATAAAATATAGTACACAAACATGTATTATATAAACAAACACCTTTATTTTGGAAAGCGCTTAATTGTTTGACAGCACTAAATTCATTACACGAATTAACTATATTTTATTTAATTGCATAATATTTATTTTCTTTAACAATAATGAAGCTAAATTTAACATATCAAATTGGCAGTCCTAATTAAAAATGATCAAAATATGATTCCATACTCCGATAAAAGCAGAGTATTGAAATATTACGGTTAACTTTTTAAAAACATAATAATAACATAACAAATAAATAAATACAAAATATAAATAAAAATAGTACTTACATTTTAACTTAAAAAACCTTTGATTATTTCATCAATAAATAATAACTATTTAAATAAATAATAAATAATAAAATATTTAAATAATTAAATACTAAATAATATGAATAGTAATATACACCAATATATAAAATATATTAAACAGTCATTGTAATTTTACTAGTAATTAAACAATATGCTTATTAATCACAAAATCAAAAAATCTATATTTTTATAATGTAATAATAACATTATATATATATTAAATGTATTAATAATACTTACGAAAATATAACTAATACTCAAAAAACATTGATAAATATGATTTATTAGAACAATAAACAATGCAAATAAAGATGAATCCCATAGTATTTTTATTTCATTTTTTCTATAATATTAAAATCATACTAAATTTTCATTATTAAACTGATGCGCCTGATTAAAACTGATCAAAAAGTCTGATTCCACTAAATTGAATGATTAATATTTGGCTCAAATAATTGCCAACATGTTTTTAGTGGTCTTAAATATCTTAACTATGCCTATTGTGAAGAAGTAAATGGGAAGAGAAGGTTGCATTTTGGGTTAAAAAACTGTGGGTTGCAGTCTCTTAAATTCTCTGGCATGTCAGAATCTGTATGGCGTAGTCATACATTTTTTATTCACGGCATTTGTTTAAGTATTAATATCTCAAGGGACTCACACACAGTCACATTTGTGTGGTGGATAAGTATCACCGGAGGATTATGGGTAACCGTGACATGCTTTAAGCTCTAAACAGGTGAAAGATAAAGTCAAAGATGCTCCTGGGAAAGTGCGTCTATCTGCATTCGTTTGAATTATTCATTCGGAAAAGGGCGGGAACGCCAGCTGCATTGTTCAGGGATGCAAACTCATCATGGGTGAAAAAAGCGACAAAGACAGTGGAAAAATTTAGCGGATTCACTCGCGCAACTTTTACATTCGCGTTTGTCACTCCTGAAACATATAGGTGGACGTTCGGTCCTATTAGACAAACAAAATTTTCTTCAAATTGTCAAAGGATTATGTAGAGAAACCGAGCAATGGACTCCTATTATACCACAACTGACTGAACTTAAGGTCATTGCACACTGAGTCTGAAATTCTCGTCCAAAATTTTCGCACGTTAAAAAAATAAATATGACCTCACGTTGTGTCAATCACGTATACAGTCTGCCTCCGAAACTTTCGTCCGTCATTAAAAATTCGGATCAGATTCTATTTTCTGCGTTTTCGCATCCGTAACAAGCATTTTGATAGGAAAGGATGATGAATACGAAAAAACGCATACGAAAATTTCGGACTCAGTTTGTAAGGACCTTTACTCACGCAAAAACTCCTGATATAATCAATCACTAGCTACACAATCAATCTCTTATTTACGCCGTGTGTAGGGCTGTCACGATAACTACTTTTTGTTGTGCGATATATTGCACCAAAATTAAATGCGATAAATGATATAATTTAAAGTTATTTTAATTTAAAATAAGTAATTTAAAGACAATTTTACGCCACTGATTAATGACAGTATGACAATATAATAGCATAATAATGCAAGTACACTCTTTTAAAGAACAAAGAATGTTTTATTCTTAAGAATATTTTGACATTGTAATCGGAACGTGAAAAACTATATCCTAAATAACTAATAAATAATAAATTAGGGATACAATGATACCATTTTTTTTTTAGAACCGATCTGAACCAATACTGAAAATTCTGAGTATGGGTCAATACCGATATCAATCCGATACCAGCACATTTTTTTTTATCAATGTAGAATTAATGTACTTCTCTGTGTTGACCTGATCGTCACTTCTTTTATGTGTTAAACACAATCTACCAAATATAGACAACTTAATTTTAATAAAAAATAACAAATAAAAAATATATAATGATAATCTATGAAAATAATACTATTATAAACTAGGTTGGTGGATAATTCAGCAGCAAAGGTTATTCTAGAAAAATCATGAGTGCACAATAATTTTATAAAATATAAATATTTAGTGAAATAACATTAGTGGGGAACATAAAAGTGAGTACGTGTAGGACTAAATCTGGTAAAATGTTACACATTGTTCTTTGTATTGTAGGTAAAATACATTCATGAAAAACAAGTACAGTCGTGGTCAGAATTATTGGCACCCTTGGTAAATATTTACTTTACTTTTACTTTTAGTCATTTAGCAGACGCTTTTATCCAAAGCGACTTACAAATAAGAAAAAGTAATTAAAACTAAAAGCTAAAACTCTATAAATACTATATATATACACACATTTAAGAAAATAAAAGAAATGAAATAAAAATGACAAATGCATACAACATTTCAAAACTAAACATTTAAATGAAAACAAAAAAAATAAAGCTAAAAACAATTCAAAATATTAAAATAACAAAAGGTACGAGTATAATAATGATTCTAACATAACACTACACCAAAAAACAACTACATATGTGTATGTACAGCCACACACACATACATATACATGTACATATATATATAAATACATTCAATATATATATATATTATTTCATTTCCATTTTGTATGTTGAAGTACTGAAATAACTCAAATTAAATACAACTAAAACTTAATAAAAAGCCTATATATACATAATAAAAAACTCATAAAATGACAACATTACTACAACAAGTACATTAGTTTATCAGTAATCCTAAAAAAATAAAAATAACACTGAGCCAAACACACATGCTAAAATAACAACAACTTACTGACACATAGTAAGAAATGGTTATGAAAAAATTATTAATAAATTATTATTATTATTATTATTATGATTATTATTATTATATTTGGGGTTATTTCTGTTCACTAACGCATCAAATGGAATTACAAAAATAATGGCATACAACATTTCAAAACTAAACATTTAAATGAAAACAAAAAAAATAAAGCTAAAAACAATTCAAAATATTAAAATAACAAAAGGTACGAGTATAATAATGATTCTAACATAACACTACACCAAAAAACAACTACATATGTGTATGTACAGCCACACACACATACATATACATGTACAATTTAAAATAAATAATCAATATACTGTATATATATTATTTCATTTCCATTCGGTGTCCCTGCCCGGTGGAGTCGCACGGCAGAGCCGACGGTCTCCACACTCCTCGGTCTGCACACGACCACAGCCGCGGTAAACCAAGCTCTCTTTTTTTATTCGTTTAACAAAACTCAAATTGAATCCAGCTGGACACACCCTCCTGCCCATCACAACAAACGGCCAAGCAAAGCGCACGACACCGACAAGGTACGCGACACAGTACGAGACCAAACGAAGGGAATTGTATATTATAGAAAATATAATCAAAGAAGGCTGTGAAAATAAATCTGCATTGTTAATCATTTTGATCTTTTATTTAAAAAATTCACATAAATCTAACCTTTCATTGGAGAATAAGAATTTAAAATGGGGGAGACATAAATGTTTTTCTCTAATACACATTGGACACAATTATTGGTACCCCTAGAAATTCTTATGAGTAAAATATCTGTGAAGTATATTCCCATTCATATTTACCACGGTGAGAAGGAGAGTTTGAGTGGCTAAAGACTCTTCAAGGACCACAGCTGGAGAATTGCAGAAAATAGTTGAGTCTCGGGGTCAGAAAACCTTTAAAAAAAATCAAACAGCACCCTACACCACATGTCGTTTGGGAGGGTTTAAAGAAAAAAAATGCTCTCATCCAAAAACAATCCCCAGGATATTCTGTTGTCAGACACGACTGGAACTTCAAATGGGACTGGGTTCAATGGTCAGATGTAACTAAAAAAATAGCTTTTTAGCAACAAACACTCAAGATGGGTTTGGTGCACACAGGGATAA